AAAGTGACCTGAGACCCTCAGACAGGAACTTCAAACTCCTGGGCGGCAAGCAGTGTAGCTTGTGAGGCCCTGTGCCTCTCCTGCCTTCTGGACGGGGGAAGATTTGTCCTTTAATTGTGTCCTTTTGTGCATACTAAGAGGCCCCGCTTATTCTACCACCTTTTCCATCGTGTTTTCCTGAGTCTCTGTTGCCTCTGGGGGCATCACAAATCCTGCCCTGCACAAAGCATGCCAGGATATCAGCTGCGTAAAACAGCCCTGGCATTCAGCAATGATAAAACAAGCACACATCTGGATGGGCGTCATTTCAGTCACTTGCACACTGCCTGCTTCTCTACACAGAGATGTTTTAATGGCAGGCCTAGCAGAAGCACATCAGTGCTCATCTGTCATGTATTACCTGACCTGCTGCGAACCCAGAGGTTCCCTTTCCAGTATTCTGCCATTAATTTCATCAGTAGCCATGCAAGCAAACCAAAGTAACTCTTAAATAAAACACACTGGCATAGCATCAGACTGCTGCTGAGAATAAATCGTTTGCATTTGACTCAGTATGTGCCTTTTAACAGCTAGACGTGTGCCAAAACACAGCTGTGTTACCAAACGCCCGCCTTTCTGGAAAAGAGAAATTATTGGGTCACACTCTCAGCCTCCCAAGCTGGTTCGGATTCCCTGAAAGCAATGCAACTCTTTCAGTTCATTCCTGTCTCCACATCATGGGCTTAAACTGCGTGTCATTGCAAAAGCGCTGCTCCACGACCTCCATTTTGTAGCCGCTGGAGGGAGTTGGAGGGCAACTTGTGGGCTTCAGGGGCACAGTGAACGTCGGACAGTTCACAGACAGGGACAGAAGAGAGCTTTGAACAGCAAGAAGGTTCCCAGTGAAAATCTGTGCACAGAATGAAGATGTGTTCTTGTTCCCAGCTAACAAGCCCAGTTATTTCAGGAAGCTAACTCCACACCATCCAGCGCTTTTTTATTCTCTCTGATCCATGGAAAAGGTTTTTTGGTTGTGTAAATACTCTAGTTTTCCTCCAGGACACAAGGGTGGCTGTTGTGAAAGCCTGAAGTTCCCAAACTGCTCTCCCACCGCAACTCTCAGACAGAAAATGAGAAAAACCTCAGGAGAGCACTGGGCCCATCACCAGAGGGAACAATTGGAGCTCCAGCTGTGCTGATCAGCAAGCACAGAGCCAAAATCAACAGAACCAGCTTCCCTGGGGGCCATGGCTGCTTCCCCAGGACCTCCTGCCCCATTTTGAGCACCATATGAACCACAGGAATGTCTGAGACGTTGCAGTGTTGGTCAAAGGAAACTCTCACAAATAACAAATGAGCTGCACGGTCTATTCCATAAAATGATGGACACCAATTCAAAGCTGGCATACTCACAAAATTAAATGTAAAACATCTGTAGAGTGACAGAACATTATCATCAAAAAGATATTATTTTCCCCGTTACTGTTTTTAAATGTTGCTTCAGAAGGCACATTAAATAGAGGGAAGTAGTCGTTAAAGCTGAAAGAGAAGCAACCTTCACACACACAGAGGTGCCACTGTAATGCTTTGTCATTGCCTTGAGTCAAAATATTTTGATTCTACTGTTTAAACTATAAAACTGTCACATCAACATCAAATCAATTCCATGTGTATCTCACGGGCTGTGACATGATACCAGCACTCTGACTGCAGGATCCATCAGAAAATGTCTCCTGTAACTATTGATCAATTGTATCGCCAAGGATATCTACAAGATCTAGAAAAACAGAGTTTAGATTTTATCTCCTAGAGTTCAAAAGGGATCTCCAGCCCATAACCAAAATAACAGGCAAAAACTCATGCCAAGTAAACATACTAAACTGCAATTGGTGATTTAGGGTGACATTATTACTGCCGAGCTATGTACAACCATGTGAAGAGTGGAAGTGAAGAGCTCTCAGAGGCTGAGGTTATCCTGTACACAGCCTTTGTTTGTTTGACCTCAATTAATCAAACATTAAGCACACAAAATTCCTGTAATCTTCAGATGTGACTGTAGGTCAGAATTTCTTCCCTGATACGTCGTTGCAGTTTTTCTTGCTAAAGAGCAAAAAATACACAGTGTTCTTAAGAGCTTCTGACAACTGTGGCAGATTGTTTCAGCCAAGTACTATGACAAAGTATTCCAGGAAAAGAGAGTGCTCAGGGAAGAACATCGTCCTCACTTTCTGCTAACTGAGCAGTAGGGCCTTAACACTGCTTTCCCATATTCTTGCCCCATTTAAGCTTATGCAAATCTTTATAGCATCATAGTCTTCAGTTTTCCTTACCATAGGAATTGTGATGTGTCACTGTTCAGTCAACATGTAACAGCAACGTTACAGGACAGAGTATCCTTCCTTTTCCTGTTAGAACAGTGAGACAGAAGGTTAGTTCAGAGCACATCACACTCCAAAGACTGAATTTTTTTTTTCAGTAATCTCTAGTTTTGTTATTTATACAAAGGCATCCTGGATTTACATTTTTTTTTTTTTTTTTTCTCTTCCAATTTTAAATAATTACTCAAATTAGCTGTGTTATGCTGAAAACGTGAAGTTCAATATTTCTTGCTGTATCATGCTTTTTCTTGTCCCCTGTTCCACCTGCTTTTGGATACAGGGGCTCTACCTGAATACAATTATTCCACAATTTCTTAAGTGTTAAAGTCCCACTCTGCCAATGAAGCCTATGTCATCTTTCCTTTATGACACCAATATTGCCTCTCTCATGTTCTATCACTATCATAAAAACCTGCAAAGATGGAATGATGAAAATAAACTGCTTTAAAAGCTACCTAAATCATTTAAAATTTATTACTTACTTCATTATTCTTAGGCAGGTTCCACCATGTATAATTGATTCAATATCAAAATAGTAAGTGTAATGGTAGAATTCTTCCCGTGGTGCACAGCCATGGCAGGTTCCAGCACAACAGTGGATATCTGTGCTTTCATTCATCCTTGAGGGAAATTGTACAAACCTGAAACACAAGCAATTTTACAGTATTTATTTTCAAATATGTCAGATGGTTTTTCATGCTATTTTCATTCCTGAGAGCTTATTTTCATATTAAACAAGATACATTTGTTCTCTATCTTGCTTGGTAAAACATAGAATTCTTTACAGTAAAGTAAAAATTACTGTATCTGGAATATTTAACAGGAGAAGGCGAGTATTTTTCTGTTTGCTGCTACATAATATTACCATGCCACCCCTTTATTCCCATTCAGACTTCACCTTGGATGTGACCTTGCTGAGGCTGAAGTGCAGTGTGGCTGTAACGTGCAGCGTGAGCTCAGCCTAAGATGATTCTTAAATGCACTGCTGGTGAGAGTTTATGCCACAAATAAATGCAGTAGATTACTCTTAAACTCATACTTTAGGATGTTTATTACAGATGCAATTTCTGTCTTAACATAAATCAAAGTGCTTAAAGTGCCATATGATACCAAATGTTTAGTTTAACAGCGTAAAATAGAGCAAGAACTGTATACAGTACTTTATAGATGCTATAAAATTCTTGTACTTGTGGCCTCACCTCTTTGCATTGCTCAGATCAATCAAGTTTGCTGAATGCTCTGGATAGTAAATACTCACGTGAACCAACGATTAGCTTTCAGAGTTTGGTTCTTCTAAGCTATTACTGTCTTCAGTAAAAATACTGACCAAATTACAAAGCAGGGACTGTATTCACCATGATTGAATTTACTTCATCATCATTAGGCTATTAGGCATTCTCTGAAAAAAGTTCTTCTGCTTTGCCCCAAACTTGTGTTAGCAACCTGTTATAAAAGATCTGTCACACACAGGCATATAAACACTTTAAAATCACTTTGTGCATTAAGGAATGTGTTATTATAAAGCTCCCTGTGTCCCGTGCTCTTCCTGCCTCACTCAAAAATTGTTGGACCCATGTACGATCTCCTTAAGTCATGTCTAATTTCTGTAAACTCTTCTACATCAGAGAAAGCTGAAAAAAGGCTGAGGAAGCATTTCTGAACCACAAGTCTATGGGAGACTGAAGATTTTGGCCTGAGAAACTTCCCAGAGTTCAACAAAACAACTCTGCCAAAGCAAACACCTCCTCCCTGTCAGCTGAGTCAGACCACAGAACCGCATGTTGCGCCTTCATTGCTCTTCTTTCTGAGTAAAAACATCAAGGAAGACTGCTCTCCATATTTCCCCAAATTATTTTAAGGCTCTAGATATCTCCTAAGGGAAGTGGATATCGAGCTGTATCTCCAGCAGCAAAATCTGCTCAGGTAATATGTAAGAAAAATGCCTGCAGTGAGAGCGTAAGAACACGTAACTCATGATGCGCTGCTTCCTTCAGCACTTTCCATCAGCTTTTTTTAGCATTACTGTCTGGATTCTTTGACCTGGGAAGGAGTCAAGATGCAAAACAAAACAAAGAAGCTGTTGTATTAGAGACTGGTCGACAGCTTAGAGCCTGCAGACGGGCAGAATAACTGCGCACCAAGGCTGTCACCAAGGCCCGACCATTCGCTCTTTGGAAACACAGACAGGGATGGGAGAAAGCAACTGCTTCCTGCTGACTGCATCGCAGGCCTTGCAGGCTGCCTCTCATAGCCCCATAAAAGTGTAATGCACACAGTTCACCCACAGATATTCTGAAGCTGATGTCTGTTATTACCACCACCCAGCAATTTGCCTAGCAGGCTGTGACACGCACAAAGCCACCAGCAAGAACCTCTTCTTTCTAACTGCAGCGTCAATCCTCGTGGTTACCACACTGAGGTCTTTACTTTTCTCCCTTGTTAACTTATATTCCAAATGCAGACCTCCTTTCAAACTCCTTTCCCTTCCCCCACCAAGGGGGGGATATTTTATGAGTTTATGCACACCCAGCAGTTCCTCTTCAGGCACTTCCTCTGCCCTGAAGTAATTGAACTTTACTGGAGAGTTTCCAAGACAAGGGTAAGGTGTTTGGGGTTTTTTCCTTCTCTCCTTAGACTGCAGCCCAGAGCTGAGCAGAACTTCCCAAGCAAACAGCCTTGCTCCACGGCACCGTTGTTTCCTGAGCTTTGGGATTCACTCCTTTGCTGAATGTCTGATCCTGGGACTTGTTTGGAACTCCTCTTCCACTGTGCAGCCTCCTACTTGGGATCTGTTCATCTACATACAGTGCTCTGCAGAGAAAAGGCTCTTTCCTGATAACACCCTGGTAAGTATTGCCCCACCTCACACACTCCTATCCAGTAATTGTTATTGTAGGAGACACGCTGCTATCAATTTTTCACTTTCCTGACTGGTGGTCACTTCCCTTTTGTTCCAGAGCTCCAGTGTTTCCATGACTTCTTATTCCAACTGCAACACTTCTGGCAGGTGGCACAGCATCATTTGGTATTTTATCCACTCCAGGAGTTCCCAAAATTCAGTGTGAGTACACAGACTGTTTGCAGAGCCCAGCAAAGATAAGTGTGATGTGGTTACATTCAGTAGTTTAGTAAAGAAAGGAATATTCTATACCTGTAGATGACAGCATGTGTTAAGTATTCACACTGGATTGAGGCCTTTCCAAAATAAAACCAGTAACATTCCAATAATTTTGAGTCCTTTCCACATACTCAGTTTTACCCCTGAGAGCACAAAACTTTGCTCTGTCTCATGATCCCAGGAAAGAGGCATTGTGAGAAACGTTGCAAGAAGCGAGTAGAACATTCAGCAAAAAAAAAGAGAAAAAAAGCAAAAAAAGCACACCTCATTGGCAGAGTTGCAAACCAGCAATTTATCTGTCTGAATACCTGGGAGAGGGAAGGAAAAAAATTCAGAAACCAATAGTCAAGAATAAAATGAGGACCAGGCATTCTGCCGAAGCATTTGTTTAAGCAAGCAGCTGGAAGGGGGGCTGTAAAACACAGTTTTTCTGCTTTACTTCCTTCAAAAAGTGAATGAAAAATTATTCTGTGCAGCAAGAAAACAACTTGTACTATAGTGCAGAAAATATATTGTTTCCTTTAAAAGCATCTTACTCAACACTTGATTTCACATTTTCATTCCACAGAAATTACAATTCTGTGCATTTTTATATCTCTGAGTTCACCAGCTCACGGTTTCGAAGTATGAACAACTTCATAAATATTGCTCACAGCATTAGGAAAAAACCAGGCAGATTCATATTCTTCCACATAAGTACAGGTAGTATGGGTGACTAACTGAAATACCACAATCACACTTCCTGGCACTACGGAAACGACAGCACTGCTGTGCACAGAGGTAACTGATACTGAGTAAATGTATGTTAAAGTTGACATCATCCCAAAGCATCAATGGCCAAAGGCCAAAGTTTCAATGAAGAGTCATTGTGGCTTTCTTAGCTTTGAAACATTTGATCTTAAGAGCTTTTGGTTCTCGTGACACCTACAGGATTTCCCATCCTTCAAACTGTGTCGTGATGCCAGTGCACGCCCCCAGCCAGGTGTCCTTCCCTGGCTCACAGAGGTAAGGGAAGTCATGCTGCACCTGTCACCCGTTTGCTAAGTGATGTGACCTACCTGCAGCAAAGCACATTTCTTCCATCTACAAAATGGGCTCTGGATGGTTCCTTTGGAAGGAGGAACTGAGTAAAATCTTCTTTGGAAATGGCCTTGCTTGAGCACAAGCACACAGGTGACACAAAAGTTCTGAGTGCTTCTCGCTGGAAGTTATGCTTTGTTTGTATAACCTCACATTTTTGTCTTCATAGATGAACATCCGTTTAGGCAAAGCCTGAATCATGGCATCCTCTCAGCACCTCGCAGCAGGGCAACACAGTGACATGAGAAGGCTGCAGCCTCACCTCACCGTGCTGCTTCATGAGATTCCCAGCAACGTTAACCTTTACCATAACTGGGCACACTTACCATGTTTTCACTTGAATGAGTAAGACAGATCACACCGTCCTGTGCTGGCTTTGGGCCTCTTCTGTGGACTTCATACATCCTCCAAAGCTATAATGAATCATTTGCTTTATCTTTATCTTTCTTTAACAGAACCAAAGTCTCTGAAGAGAAAGAACTCAGGGAAGAGCTCACACCACCCAGCGCCTCTTTGTCTCTAGAACCATCCCAGTGGTTCCCATCAGCCCAGCCTGCTGATGCCTGCAAGCTGCTGGAGTACTTCCCTCTCAGGTGCTCCATATATGAATGACTGCAAGCTCCAGCTTCACCTTCCTTTCCTTCTCTGCTTGTGCATTCCACACCCTGCACAGAGGCTGGGTGAAATCAAGCTCACTTAAGAGGCTCCCTTGAATATCCACTGCTTCCTTCAGAGTTTTGTTTTCCCCACCTGTTCCTCTGTTTCTACTTCTTATATTCCTCCCGTCTTCAGCACAAGAGCCTCGCAGTTTGATAACATTATCTTGTTAATTCATCCAATTGAAGCTTCAGGAATGCTTAAATAACTTTGGAGTTATTAAATAGATTCACAGAATTCTAAATACTCTTTCAGACACAGAGGAAATAAAGTTCTTCCCAGAAGAGAAACTTCTTGGAGTAATTCTATTGCAGCAAAACATGGGAAGGTTTTTTTAATGCTGAGTCCCACCACAAAAGGCTGGCAACGATAATGGGACATCCTGCAGCACTTAGAGAGAGCTTGTCTCAGGAATAGCAGTTTTGAACCAAATCCTGCTCACACAGCACCATGAGAAACACGCTTTTACTATGATTGCAGTCAAAAACCAAGGTTCTGCATCTGCACCATTAAGCGAAGCCATGGTCAAGAAGAAACTGAAAGGAAAAAATATAAAAGTTTTCTTCTTTTCTCTTATCTGGAAAGCCATAGCAATTTAATTTTTGTTCTGGAAAACTTGAGAAGTCAGTTCATGTGACATATCTACAACACAATCCACAACCACCAAGCATTCAAATAAAATACCACAGTGCAGTGAACAGCCGTGACACTTCTTTCAAATATCTACCATCTAACAGCAAATGCCAAGTATACTGCTTTGTAAAATAATAGGGAACATAAAATGGAAAGAGAAAACTGAACTCAGGAAAAGGAACAGATAAAAATCCTGCTTTTGAGAATGAAGCCAAGTAATAACATCCCACCCTGGCCCCCGTACAGGATCGGGAGAGGTTGCTTCCCTTGGCAAACTGAGAAATCACACTTCTTCCAGCTTCTAGTTACACTCTAAACAATGAGTGCTTTGGGGCAGACTTTGTTTTTGAGAGCTCAGATCAGCTATCCTGACACTGGATTTACATACAACCCACTGGTGAACAAGAACTGACCCTTAATGGATTTGGGGAACGTGTCCCTCGGAGTCCTTCCACGCACTGTTAATAACTGCAATTTTGGATGACTTTTCTCCACTGCATGAGAGTGTTTACATCACTAAAAAAGAGAAGAAACAAACAATTAGTGGTTTTATAAGTCTTACCATGATTTTTCTAGGAAATAAGAAAGCAAACAGATTCATCAGAGGTGAGCAGGGCCAAACATTCTCACATCCAACCCCTGCTCTGCTATGTGACGTGGAGGAGGGCTGCGATCAGCAAACCTAAAGCATTCATGTTTCCTTCTCCCCCTCTTGCAGCCAAGCTGCAGACAGACACAAGGCTCGTCTCATCCTGGAGCCAGGATCGTATTTTTTCTCTTTAAAGAAGGAAGGAACATTTGCAATGACATTTTCTTCTGTGCCATTAAATTTCATAAAAGGTGGCACTGTCCCTGGCCACCCCTCGGCTGGAGGTGTAACTCAGTCACCAAAGGTGCCTCGATGTGACTCAGGGTGGAGGTATTTTCCCCCTAGAATCTACACTTGCAAGTTCTCCCCTTAAAGGCAGCCTGTTACTATGCCTTGCTCCACTCCTCTCAGAGAGCAGCAATCAGATTGTTTGCAGTGCATTAGCATACTCGAATAGATCTGTCATGGTTATTAAAAATATTACAGAGGCCAAATATTTTGACTGAAAAAGCAAAAGACATTGCCAGCATCCCGAGATCCCTATCTGCTGTAAGCTTTGTGATGAACTGGCACAAAATAAAATTACATTGGTGGTCATTACCACTAGCAGGCTGGCACTTTGGTAATTCCACAGCAAGGAAGGGTGAGGAAGAGGCTCACCAGCCCAGAGCCATGGGTTTGAACATCCCTGGGTAAGAGAAGGGACAGAAGGCAGATCCACAGGCAGCAGTGATGCTTTAAGCAAGACATGCATGGAAAAGCTCTTGGGTACAGTATGGACACTGAGAACTGAGCGTTAGTTGTGTGGTTTTGCAAATCACTTTGTCCCACAGAAAAAAAAAAGCAAAGCCAGGAATCTAAAACTGCTGATAATAATCTAGAGTTTGCAGAAGAGGTTTTGAGCATACGGTGGAGCAGAAAACACAACTCCAGGTTTCTGCTTCCACACTTTGCAGACTTTGCTTTTCTGTGAGTATAACAGCAGAAGAAAACCCCTCAATACAAGCTTGCTCTCAAGTGACTCTTTGTGTAGATCTGCCAAAAATGACCATCCTGCCTCTATCCCCAACTCTCTCAGCATCATTTCTGGTTCTGCTCAATGTCCTCCCAGACCTGGTGCCCTTTTTACCGCATTTTCTCTGCCCAATAGGCAGACCAAAGTTTCTTACAAGTTTACTGTGTCAAAACCTGCAAGAGCAGTGCTCTGCTCAGCGCATTTCTGGCCTTGATTCCCTGGGAATCTTTCCCACAGATGGCCGCACACCCACCTCCCTCCTCACAGAAGTCACAGCACTGTGGAGCTGAAGCCTTAGAATTTCCAGGCAGATGACACTGCCAAGGTTACACCCAGGAGATAACAACTCAGTCGCCAGCAGCAGAGCGCAGCCCGGCAACCTGCCCCAAACACCACTTTTGCCTTCAGGAAACGGGACTGAAACAAGCTTTCACAGCTCCCACGGGACTGGGAAGAACTGGAGGATGAATGAATCACTGCTCACAATCCCAGTCTTCAAGGCAGTCGACAGTGAAATCAACGGGGCCATAAATCATAGAATCATTAAGGTTGGAAAAGATCTTGGGGACCACCGAGCCCAAGCATCACCACCTGGCTCCTCGTGCCGAAGCCTGCAGCACGTTTCAGCCTCCACCACGCTGCCTGGACCTTGGTGCATGCAGCAACGTGGTGGGAGGGCAGAGACTGGACCCAGCAGCAAACAGGCCTGCTGACACAGATGGTTTGTTGAAAACGTTGGTGCTGTTGCAATGCTTTCTTCATTTGTGCGTGCAATCAGCAAATACAGATTTAGCAACCAGGCATTGTTAAAATACGATACGCTCTTCCTTCAAGATTTGTTTTGTATACTCACAATTAATAATCTGCCCTGGCACTCCTGCAGTTTCTAGGAGCTAGCACTCAATATTGGCTGCAAAGTGACAATTTGCTGTTGACACTGTTGCCTTAGGCTAAGCCACAGAGCCTGACAAACACTGCTCACATCTCTAGTAACAAAACTGAACCAAGTACTCACAATTTTAGCACAGCAACTAGGAAAAAGGGCTAAATGAGGAAATACTATTCTTCAAATCAAAGCTGAGACATCTGAGAAAGGGGATGATTTCAAGAGGGGGCACTGTGCATAGCCATACTCAGCACGTTCCCAAAACTGTTCCCAAAACTGCTGCGAAACTGTTTTAAAGCTTTAAGTGTGCCTTAAATTACCAGCTTATTTTCTGGGACACAAAGGGTTCATTTAGTGGTTTCCTGGAGTTTTCTTTAGTTGTTTCCTTTAGCTTTAGGTCCTGCTGGCTTCAGGGCTGCAGCTATGCCCTCCTATACACCAAGTTATGAATGTGTATTTGATGCATTTAATACACAATTACTGCAGGCCCTGACCCTGCAGATGGCAGCTGAGCTGGTATTCCTAATGAGCACATGGGTGAAATATAAATCACTCAGCTGTAAGATCAGACACTAAATCACAAGCCTCAAGTTTTATAATGTTTACCCTGACAAAACTATGGCTTTTCCTGTGATAAACAAACTGCTTTGTTTTCAGGAGGTCAATCGGTCAGCGATGGGCTACCTGACCTCCCTAGGTCTGCTCATCCCCAGGTTTGTGATCCTTGGTTCCTGTGATCTTCTGCCACCTTCTATTTTGCTCCTAGAAGAGCAAATTTCTGTGCTGTCCTCTGGCTCGTTTCAAATTTTCTTTAATTTCAATGATTTAACTTACATGGACTGATCTAATTGGGTCTTCTTTGGATCTGTTTTCATAAGGGAAATATTACTGTTGAAGACTCCTCCAATGTAGGGAGTTTAATTACTGCAGTTAATTGCCTCATTCCTAAAAAGCAAGTTTTCAAGCCAAGGTCAAATTTCCTCTGCTCCTTCTAAAGTGCTGCTTGCACTACAAATACCCAAAGTTGCATACTAGGATCCAGAAAGCTAGAAAAAGCAATCATTAAAAAGAAATGCCTAAATCATAGCAGCTGCAAAATCTCAACATAAGCTAGCCTATTCCAATAGGTTTTGGTTCTTTTACAACTACAATGTTGTGTACAGAAAAATATTTGTCTTCACCAGGAGTTAGTTAAGTGTGTCTGCTTTGCAAGACTATTTCCTCCTACCTTTGTATGCGCTGCGTTTCCCTGCCCTGTTATTCCTAACTCCTCAGTTACAATCAGCCAGGTGCAGATCTGAGCATTCACTGTTCTGCTACAATCAGGTGTGCTGAGCGGTGCTGCTGTCTCAATGAGGCGCTTTCACAACTGAGACTTTTTCAAACAAGGTCACACTTCATGGATTCCATGTTACAAAATCACAGAATGACATGGGGCTCCATCTAGAAGGCTGCATGAAAGCCCTGCATGAGTTACACGAGGCGAAATCCGCAGCCTTCTGCGCTGACAAATGTTCAGAACATAAAGCAGGGATTACACTTATGCCCATGGGGAACTGCAGTTAAAACGTACCATCCTCCCTGCTTTTGCTGTCTCCAGTGATGTATTACTAGGCAAAACTAAATTGCTCTCACAAGTGCTTTATAAAACCCTTTACATTTTCCTCTGTCCATTAACGCGTTTTGCTTTGCCTGCGTTTTATCTGCACAGATTTGCAATTGCAACGTGCACAGGGCTGAGTGCTGACTGCCCAAAGCACCCAGCTGCTGTGGGACTGCTCCATTTTTCTTCATCTATGTCTGCAGTTTGTGCATTATGGCAAAGTTATAACAGTTAAAAACACATCTGACATTCCAAAGACAGCCTGCAGAATCACGCACAGCAGAATGTATCAAAACAAGAGCAACGAAGGAACTGGCATTCAGCAGTTCCATTTACATCAAGGCTGTGCCACGTCAAATCACTTTGGGAGATACCTTACCAGTCAGGATAAAAGCCAAGTTATGAAAATTAAAGTTGACTTATTATTGTATAGAAGCCAAAAGCACACAAACTTCTTGAAACCTGATCTTCCATTTCCCAAAAACGCGAAGAGGAAAAATGCAGGAAGCATACATACTATCAGCAATGGTTCCCTTCTACGCGAGCGTTATCCATCAAGCATTCTTTAGAAATTCAGCTGGAAGATATTACTGAGACAAATCTCCTATTTAAGACAGCCCATGTTTATTAAACAGTAACTTACGTATGCACTAAAAGAACGTCCTGCTGTGCTGAGGTATCCTTGTACCCTTAAGCTGACATCACTGAAGTATATACACTAGTGTATAGTAGTGCTAAAAATTACCTTACTGAAGGGGCTCACAGAAGAGTCCAGGTGTGCAGGGACAGAGACGAGCCCCAGGTTTTGCTGGAGGAAGGAAAAGGACTCAGTGGAAATAGGAGGTCCTCAGTGCTTCCCAATATTGTGCTTTCAATGCGCCCAGCGTTGGCTCTCACGCTGCTGTTTCTCACGTTCACCTTTGGAAGCAAGGTCAGTCGGGGCTGTTTAAGAAAAGTCAGAACAAGATTTCAATATGAGCTTGAGCCATCGCATGGAAAACTCTGCAATAATAGCACATCTGATAAGTGAGAAACTAAAAGTTCTCCCTTGTTTTTGTTTACTGGATAATTTTCTTTAAATGGTTCAGGAGACCTGTTTGGACACAGCCAAGCGTGGCATACACGCCTCAGTTAAAAACTGTTGGCATGGGCAGATGGGATCAGGGATTGTGGCAGGAAATCTTAATTGCAGTACGTACACCAGTGCTTCAGGGACACCTTACACCTCCATCAATACACACAGCTTGACGTCAGACACATGTAACAAGCTGTTCTGCTCACAAATGTGTTACATATCTGATGCCCAGACCTGCTCTCACCTAACTGACTTGCTGCTGATTTCTAGTGGCATTGGGCTGCTAAAATTCTCTGAGATGTTGATACAAACACTTCAGAACATTATCAGAACCCCTAACACAAGTTACATCAAAAAAAAACCAACAAAATACCACCACAGTGAATTGCACCTCCTCCTGGGAATGGTAACAAAAGCCTCCTGAGTGTACTTTTAACAGTGGAACCCCAAACCCACATCTCATGTTTAGCACTGATCCAGGACGGACACGACAAAAGCAACGACCCCCACCAAAGGAGGGTTTGTTATGCATTGCATACAACCTGATGAGAACGTGCCTCTTCCCAGGCTTTCATTGCTAATGTGTAAGTGTCAGCAGGAAAACCAGAGGCCTTCCAACAGAAAATGTCAAATTTGCATCTGAGATATAAAATATTAATTTGGTTTCTGCCAGAAATTGCATTTTCTTTAAGTCTTGGGAGGGTATCAAACCCAAATCCCTGACATTTCATTTTGATTTAGTGAAACAGCAGAATAATTTCCCAGATCACGTTATATTCCCATTGGAAGGAGCACAGCTCATGAACGAGATGCTTTTAGTCAGAGGTAACAAGCACAGTGCTTGGAAGGCTGCCGTTCATCAGACGAAAGTGACGCGTTCTACAAATCGCTGCAGAGAACTGCAGTGTCTGCTCAGCACCATCATGTCTCAGGTCCAGGTATGCAAAGGAAGAGCACAACGTGCTTCACAATCACTTTGCATGTATGTAAGATGACAGAACC